TATATTTCAAAATGTTTTAATCAAGTAAATTATTTGCAGATCACATCTCATATTTGAATTCCACAGTCTCATCTTTTAACTACTACTTCAAATATTGTGAAGGTAACAGAAGTAAATCCATTCACATCATTAGCAATCATTCATCTTTTTAGCTTTTTATTTATGGAGAGTTATAACTGCTACAGAGTGTAAGCTAGTTATTTTCAAATGATACTTGTATTTTATCAGTTATTTGGATTCTAAAGGGGAGAAAAAAAAAGTTTTGAACATTTCAGTGTATAAAATTGATTTTTAAATAAACAGAGGGCAGTTTTATCTTATTTTAGTGACTAAATGGGATAATTGTGATGATGCAAAGATAAGTTTTTTTATTGAGGATAATACAGAAAAAAAAGTAATTAATAATTTTCTTAGATCCTCCTATTTCTAGTCTATGGTTTGTTACTTGCCCTTTCTAATCTGTGATAAGTGACTTTAACCTAAGGCAGAGAACACAGATAATTTCCCTGAAACTAGTTAAAATCCTTTGTTATAATTTTATTCAAATTCTCTTATAGGTTAAAAATACCCATTAATGAGACTCAAGCCAATTATAGACTGGCATAAATAATAACAGTACTGAACATGATGTACAGGCTGTGTGTAAAATTTGGGATTAAGGAATAAATTTAAGACTATTAACTGCTCAGTTTGGCTTCTTTGAGATTCTCTGCTGTTTGGTTTCAATGAGTATGGGTTTAAATTCTCCAAGCTTTGAGATTAATTGAAAAGCTCAGAATTTCAAAGTAGAATTCACATAGAATTTATACAATTGCTAATATCCTGTTTACATGTGAAAAGAGGGATTCTAATCTATAGGCATATTTTGTTCCAGTCTGAACAAACTCCCATGTCTCTGGGTCTTCGTGAGCACGAGTTTTAAATGGATTGACAAGAGCTCTTGAGAAACATATCACGGCAGCAAGGAATATTATGGAATATAGCTGCAGATTTTTTGGCCACCCACAGACTGTAAAGGGCTATTTTGGTCTCCATCATTTCCCCAGTCAGATTTTCAGATTACAAACCACAGTGACAAATGACACATTATTTTATATAAGCGTGCCAGATACTGGTAAATCAAGTATTTTTCTGAAGCTTAGTTTAGACCAATTGTGGGGAAAAAAAAAGAGGGAATGTGTTCATAGACTTTTCTGGACTTGGTTGTGTGGATTATTACCTGATTGTGAGTGGAAATTAAAACCAATACAAAGTCATCAGAAATTGGGAATGTGCTCTGCATTTGTAACTGAATACAGAGAGTACTCAGGTGCTTATAGATGACCTTGTGACCTATGTGTTATAAAGTGTGTGACACTTGTCCTTGAGGAATTGCACTTTCTATTCGGATTGGTATCTTTTCCAAAAGTGGATATTGAAAATAGATTAACTCTATTATAGAGGCAATGGAAAACCCATCAATGCTATATGTTTCACTTTAAGTTGTTTCATATTCTGCTTAAAAAGATCTTCCTATAGACCAATAACATTTTTTTATTGAGCATTTTTATGTGAATAAATAAGACTCAATAATTTGTAAGAATTAAAAACACATCTAGAGGTCTATTAAAGGCACTTTGCCATTGAAAAAAAGGGTGCTTGTAAATGAACATCAACCATGCCTGGTTTCAGCTGCAGATTCTCATATTCAAAATAGGAGTATACCTTGCCTTTATTTGCTGATTGAAGTGTGCTTCATACCGCTAATGACTTAAAATTGGTCAAGAATAAGAGTTTGTCAAGGAAAGAATATGTAGCAGAGGGGAGCCATGATGTGTTCCCAGAGGTGCTACATGAATGGGAAACCCAGTGCTGCAATGATGTTGGATAAGAAGGCTCTCCCTTCCACTCCCCAAAGCATCTCTACCATTTCTCCTATATATTCACCTTAATTGTCCAGTAGTACCGGTAGTTTCTTTCCCCATGTGTTTTTCAAAGCCTTAGTTCTCTTTTTTTTTTTTTTTTTTTTTTTGGTTTGGGTTTTTTTGTTGGTTTTTTTTTTTTTTTTTTTTTTTTTTTTCATTTCCCAGCACTTTCATAGTGAGGTTTGGGTGTGACAGACCAGTGTTTGGTTGCCAAATGTCAGAATCGCTGTCCACAGTCAAAGTGAACTATACTTTAACTAGAAAAAAGAGATTGGGTGCTGTAATAATTTTGCTAAGGGAAAAGAGGACAAATGACTTCTTGCAGATAGATAGTCAATACAGTTTTACAAAGGATGTCACTTGCTTTCTTGTTGGGTGACATTCTTCCTTTCATCTCCATCTTTTTTAACCAATGCCATTTTATCTTCATGATTAGCCTCTATTTCTTCCATTTTTAACACTATTCCTTTTCTGTCACTCTATTCATATTGGTGACTTGCGTGGTGCCAGTCTGCTGAAGCAGTAGAACCTACAACAGGAACCAATTTACCAGTAGCTTATTACGTGAAATTTTTTAATTAGCATCACCTGTAGTACACAAAACCAATTCTGGCTCACCCACTCTGACTTTAAATGTTGATTCATGATCCCGACTACATCCTAAACTTGCCTGAAATATGATTTCTGTACATGTAAGAATCCTATATTGTGTTTGTGCTCTCCAAAGCAAAAATACAACAGAAAATTAACCTTCTAATCATGTGTAAAACTGGCAGTTACACTTATTTCATACAATCATGTGGCACCAGCTTGATAATGATTAAAAATATTGCACACTGTTTTCATCTGGTTTGGTAGAGTTAATCTTCAGCATATTCTTACTGCTAATGAAACTTGAAACTAACACATGTATTCCAGTAAAGGTAGGAATAGTTTGAAAGACCTTGTCATGAATGAATTATAACAACTTCCTCTCGTGAAAATGAAATTTCCTTGTTTACATGAACTGTCCTACTCTACATCGTCACGTTAAAAAAAAAAAAGAGAATTCTCCACGAAATGTGACAGATATTCCTACAGGTAAGGGGAACGTGGTGTGTACCAATTAATCTATACCCAGGTTTGAGAGTGGTATGCGAAGGTGCCTTCAGTGCTGGAAACAGAGGGGGTTGTCCCCGTCGAACTGGAGTGTGGGATTGGCTCTAGCCAGAGTTGTTAAAATATCATAAAAGATTATTTGTTTCCACTTTGTTTAAAAACTGTGCTCTTAAGGGTTGAGTGTTCTCCTTCTCAGCAGGACATGAGCAAGGAGGGTAACAGATCTGCTTTACTTCTGTGTTTGAATAGTTTTTGGCTCGTTACATTTCACTTCAGTCCTCAGACACGTATGTTAATCATCCTAGTCCTAATATATGTATAATTGTAATAATTTCTTTTTTCAGTCTTGTCAGAACTGTCGGTTCAAACCATTCAATCTCTCAGTAGAACCACAATAGGGCAGATAGCTTGATTAGCTTGTAGCTATCAAGAACTCTGTTAACATCAATCAGTATTAAGAAACAGGGAAAAATAAGGATATGTATTTCTAGATGAGAACCAATGTACAAATCTGTTCAATTAGGCATAAAACCTATCAGTGCATATTCTCATGCATTTATCAAGTCAACACTTAACTACGCTCTTCAGAGCAACTCTACTATCTTCGCATTTAGCTTTCATGAAGCTGTCTTTTTAAATCCTCTCGCCCCTTACTGGCTTGCCGCACATTACTGAAGTTAATATTTATAAAAGGCATTCATAAGGAACAGGAACAGTTTTGCTTGCAACAGCTTGATGGAAGAAGACCCCTTAACTTTAAGATGCGTGTGAAGATTACTTTTCATTCCAAGAAGCCTAAACGGGTTGAGAGAAAAAGGGGCGGGCGGAGATGCTACAGAAAAGCAGAGCTCAAGCTCCCTTTAGCCGGGCTTCTAATTCTGACCACCTTCCCCGAAAACCCTCAGCCCGACTCCAGAAAAACCTTTCCAAGACCTTAAAACACGCCCCAGAGGATGCTCCCCGCGCCCCCAGCCCGACAGGCGCTCCCCGAGGGGCTCGGCCGCCCCCTCCGTGGGATTCCCCTCCTGCTCCCCCCCCCCCCCCCCCCGGGGGCAGCCGGCGGGGCTCAGCCCGCTCGCTGCTGCCAGCGCGGGGGAGCGGTTTGCTGAGAAGGAGGGTCCCCCACCCCCCCACCCCCCCCTCCACCCCCCCCTCCACCCCCCCGGGCTCCCTCTTTTTCGTTTTCCCTCCTGCGTTAATTCTCCTTCTCCCCCGCAACCTTCGCGGAGGCGGGTGGGTGCCGGGCGGGCACCATCGCGGGGGGAGCTCCGGCTCCCCTGCGGCGGCCCCCCCCTCGCCGGCCTGCTTACGGGGTGTGCGTACATACATACAGACATATATCGGCTTTTTATAGGTGTCAGTGTGCGTGCGTGTATACCTCCCTGAGCCGCCCCGCTATACCGCATCATTTCGGCGCTGCCCGACGGGGAGGGCGATGCCTGCGGGGGCGATCTCCCGCGGGGCCCCGTGTGTCGCCCGTGGAGGCACGGACGTGCGGGGGAGGAGGAAGGAGGGGACCACGCAGGGATGCTTTAGGGGAGAGAGCACCCCCCGCACACTTCGCGGCTTTGAGGCCCCCTCCTTGCCCAGGAGAGCGGAGCTGTCCGGTGCGGGGCAGGGGCGGCGCAGCCGTGACAGGGGATAAGGGCTGGGAGACGCGGGGGGGGCTGCAAAGAGATAAAACCGGCCCCAAATGTCTTCCAAGCGTGGGGGGGTCGATTTATTTTCTCCCTGCCTAGACCCACTCACGCACCGGGAGAAACGGCAGCCGGGGAAGTTGAGAGTCACTAAGGCGGGGGGGGGGGGACAACTTTCTCGCCTGGTCACGGCGGAGAGCCGACCGCCGCAGCCCCCCCGCGACGGGTGGAGGGCTCCAGGAGAGCCGGCTGCCCGCCGGGCTCAGCCCCCCCCCCCCCCCCCCGCCCCGGGCAGCGCGGTGCCCCGCCCGCTCGCCCCGCCACGGGGGGGGGGGGGGGGGGGGGGAAGGGCTCCGCCTCACCGGATCTGGCGGCGCCGGCAAGCGGGGCGGCGTTCCGGAGCGCCCCGGGAGCGGCGGGGGGGGCGGGCGGGAGGGGGGGGTCCCGGGCGGGGCCGGCATCGCCGCGGCTGGCTGCGGCCGCGGTGGCGGCGGCAAGCCGCCTCGCCTCCCCTCGCCGCCCCTCGCCTCCCCCCCCCCCCCCCCCCCCCCCCCCCCGCTCCGTCTCCGGGAAGGGCGCGGGGAGCTCCGCGCTTCCCCCCCCCCCCCCAACCTCGGCGCGGCGGCGGAGTTTGCGCCGGCGGCTCCCGGGGGTGCGATGCCGTGTTAGGCGGCGGCGGCGGCGGGAAGGGGCGCGGGTTACCGGGGCTGTGGCTGCCACCATGGGCACCGCCGGGCTGGGGGGAGCGGCGGCCGCGCTCCCTGCGCGCCTCGGCTGAGCCCGGAGATGTGCCGGCGCCCTGCGGGAATAATTTGGGAATAGCGCGGAGCGGTCCGAGGAGGACGAGCGGCACAGCGTTTCACCAGCTGAGAGGAGGTCGCCCGGCCGTGGTGTATAGGTAAGTGGGTGCTCCTTTTCCACTCTTTTCGCTGCGTTACCTTCGTCTCCAGTGACTTTTTTTTTTTTTTTTTTTTTTTTCACCCCCCTTTTTTTCTTTTTTCTTTTTTCTTTTTTTTTTTTTTTTTTTTTTTTTTTTTTTGCAGCGGTCGGTCGCCCGCTCCTGGTTTGGAGGCGGGATGGCCGGCGGCGCCAGCGGCAGTTTTCATGGGTTTATTTAGGTGTGTGTGGGGGGGTGTGTGGCTGGGCTTGCAGGGGAGCCCGGAGCCCCGGCTCCAACTCCGCCGGAGCCCGGTAGCCAGGAAGGCGGCACAGTGTCCCAGTGCTGCAACTCTGAGATGATGCCTGCTTCCAGGCGTTAATATAAAATGCCTTCTCCTTTGTGCTGAGCTGTAACTAAATCGTAAGAGTCTCTTAGTTGCTTTCCATCGGTGCTTCTTGCAGGAGAGAGGCAGGGTGCGTGTTAACCTTTCAGATCCGCTTACGGATTAAGATAGTGAACCCAGAGTTCTGATTTTTATGCCGTAACGTTAATGTGCCCTACCTGGTGATTTTCTTCGAGGTGCTCTTGCCGTGAGGCTATGATTTGCCCAGCTTTGTTTGTTTGCTTACTTTTAGCCTGTGGATATTTATTGCTCTACTTGACATTGCCGGGAAACAAAAAGTTGACTGTAATTTATTTCAGTGTATGGAGCGCAGGCTGCAGGCAGGGGTGTAAAGCTGCCCTCGGAGGAACTCGCAAGGAGGAGGCCCATGGGGCTCTAATCTCTTGCTAAACACTCGGAGAGCCCAGAGCAGACCTGTCACGCTGCAAACGAATCCTCCTGTTCACCTTTCAGCACTGGTAGCGTATAAGCTGGGCAGCCTGCCTTCCCCCACCTATGAAACACCTGTCTGAAACACAGGGGATAGAGATGTGAATTCTGGACAGGTTTGGGAGAAGACAGAAGTTCAGTTGGTGTTTAATTAAGTTTACTCTTATTGATTTCCTCGGTGTCTTCTCTGTGAGTCTGAAAACTACAATCTTTTACAGTGACCTTGATGTACGTTCCGTTCTAACGCGGGAGCAGCACAGAATAAAAGCATTTACACTGATTTATAGCTAAGGTCTGATGATTCACTAAGAGCTCAGTCAGTTCCAGCGAATGTGGTATCTTCATCGGGAGCACTGGTCATGGTATGTGTGTAGGAAATAACTTGGGGAGATTACTTCCTAATAGTGAAGAAAGTATAAATTGCAATGTTGGAAGCATATGCTCCTGCAGAAATGTCACTGTGTGTGAAATGTTTGTTGAGTTTTGGATATTTTGTTTTCTAATCAGTGAGATCTCTAGTGAAAGGGGCGTGTGGGTGTGCATGGCCATCTCAGAGCTTCCCATGTTATTGCGCTTTGATTTGCCAGCAGCAAGAGATCCTTTTGTGCAGCGAAATACACGTTTTTACATAGATGCAATATTGACATAATAAGATTAAAAGATGTTGGGGTGTCGATACGGTGAACATTCAACTAACTTAAGTTTATAGCAGAAAGATAAAGTAAGCCTTTCTCGTAATGGTGGATGGAGATCACTGTGGGTAAGTCGGCTGGGGGGAGTATGTTTGTTTCAGTGCAGTTTTCAGAGAGTGTTCCCGCGGTTCACATTTCTCACTCTCTGAAGATACTGTGAAACACTGAATAACTGTTGCTAGACAGCGGGACACAAACCTATCCATTACTTAAAACACAGCTCCTTCTGTGTTGTATCAGAAAAAAAAAAAAAAAAAAAAAAGTATAGTTTTTAGCAAAGTCTGCCTAGGGTTTTATTGTAGCAATTCCTTCCTCTGTTGCAGAGTGGCAGGCTTTCGCTAGGCATGCAAGGGAGAGCATAAAACACTGAAGCATGCACTGATCTGGAATTCATTTGGGCTATATATTACATTTGAGGTTTCCACAATTAACATAAGTAGCTGCTCATACCTGATTATATAAATAAACGGAGTTTAAAAATTGTATCAGCTTTGTCACTTCTGATACATGCTACAGAGCCCTGTTCTTCCTTTTCTCTTTATTCCTTCAAACTAATCTAATTGTATAGTCGCTCTTTGCCTGGAGAGAAAGAAAACATAATTTAATGATGTATCATTTGGCTTTTGCAGTATCTTGTCCCATAGCTATGAGATAATCTAATGACGGTTCCCGTCACCGAATTAAAGAACATGGTGCTCTAGACTTTCTCTCACAGCCAGGTTTTCACTCTGCTATATGGCTGAGGAACTGAGTTTTCACAGGGTCTGGTAGAAGAAAAGAAACATTTATTTTTCTGTTAGAAAAGAAAGAGGAAGGTAAGACCTGAAGGCTTTAAGGTTATAATTAAAAACAAAGACTTCTAAGATATTAATCAAATCCCTTTATAATCACATATTTTCTTTGTCTTTTACCTGGTAATTGCCAGATAGCCTTTCCGCATATTTATACTTCAGTTTAAAATGTGTGTAGTTCTTAATTTTAACAGTTCAGGAGTGGCCATCATACAGTTCACTGTAAGGCTATTCTAGTATCCTTTTTAATGTTCTGTATCCTAATTGCTTGTCTCTTTTGAATCAGAGATTTACAAAGTATGGTATATTCAACTTTATAGCATGCATTTTTATTTTAATACTATGCAAATCTCTTTAATAGAGAAGATGTTGACTTGGTTCAGAATCTTCAGGGCAAGCTCTGAGACTACGTTTCTTTCCTGATTTTTTTTTTTTTTTCATGTTTGCTCAGACATGCTGTTTGACTTGTCAGGCACAACTTTCATGAACTGACAGAAAGACCTGTAAGCAAAATTAAACATATCAACAGTTACGCATAGTTTTTCTAGTCAGCCCAACCCAGTTGAGTGTGTCATTTTTATTTATTCATCTTAAATCAAATATTAAGACAAACAAATGAACAAGAGCAGTAGTCTGCTCTCAGTTCTTCCCTCAGAAGTGTTCAGCTAAGTACCATTTCTTCATGCTTATAATTTAGCACTGGTCCTTGTGCCTGAGATACTAGGAGAACTGTGATGCTGTCAGTATTTCTTACTGGTAGCTGTTGCCAGTCTGCTTGCATGTGTTGTTAAAAAGCCAAGGAGTTGTAGTGAGTGATAAGAAAAGACAAATGTATTTAAGGTGTAGGCTTTTTTGGCCCTTCTGATGTCTGTGCACTCAGTTCAGGTTTCTGGGGAGAGGACTGAAGGTGGGTGGCCTGAATCCCAGTTTGAGTCTGCTGCATCAACATGAACCTCTGGCATTATGCTGTGACATCGGCTCAGCAGGATTACACGGCCCACCTTCTGTATTTGCCCTGTGTTTTACCTACCGTAACTGGAAGAGACAGAAAGACTTACTGTCACTGTGGCCAACCTATATTTTCTGCGTTCCTGTTGCAGGTCAGAGGAAGGAGAGACAGCATACATTTAAAAAAAAACAAAACCAAACCAGATCATTCCTCAAAGATACAGCTTTAATCAACACCAGGGAATGCAGTGGAGACACAGCCAGTGAAATTCACATATATATTTAATTACCCAAGGGAGAAATTATTATCCATCTTGAGAGATTGATTTAGTAGGTGATGTGTCTACTCCTTATGAAGAAGAGGAGCTACGTGATATGGAACCAAAGCTTTTTTTTTTTTTTTCCCACTGTGCATTTCAGATGTGGCTGTCACTGTCGTTTGAGACTCTGAGCCTTGTCTTCAGTAATTAGCTGGAGTTGGCCAAAAGAGGTGGAACGCTCAGCTGTGCGATAAGTCAGGTGGTGCAGGAGCTGCGGGCTGGGTTGTTTCCTGGGGATTTGCTCTCTTCAATTTATTAAAGTAATGAGGAGAAGGAAACTCATCAAGAAGAGTGTTTGGGATGTGATTAGTTTCATGACTTGTTCTCCAGTTTACTTTGGGTAGTGTTGGACAAAACCTTAGAAGTTCTTCACTGTGATACTAATGTGAAAGTAACAGCAAATTTGAGTTACGTATATGTAATTGTTCTAAAAGGTGGGGTTGAGGTCTTGCTCGTGAGGCCAAAACACAATAAATGATGATACTGCTGGATGGGTTTGCTGTAGCACTCAGGTGTTCAGAATGACTTTAATGATAAGGCTGTGCTATACCTTCCACTGTGAAAAGCAGGAGGTCCCCCGGGCCAGGAGCTGAAGATAGGCTTGCCTTGAGGGTGGACGTGGCTGTTCCAGGAGTGGAACAAGCTCTGGAGCCAAGGGAAAGTCCTGCACTGGTGCTCACGGGGAGCTTTTCAACAGCCACTGATATTCCTGTATGAGATGTGGTTGAGGTAAAGGCACTGGTGGTGTTTTACTGCTTTAATACTGGCACTGATACTGAATCTGGGAAAGAACTCATGGCTTTGGAGATGCCGTGATTACAATCGATTGTTGCCTCAATTGATTATTCTTCAGGTAGTTATTATCTAGATCTCATCTCAAGAGTATTGGATTTTTAATTTTTTTGTCCCTATGAACTATTTACTGGCTGTTAGACTTGTGTGCTCTTCCCTGGTCAGGTGAAGTAGTGGTTCAAAGGTGTGCTTTTAAAGCTGAATACATCAAGCACTTCTGAAGTGTTTGGTGCCTGGAGCTTCTCGGGTAGCATTATCAGAGGAGAAACACTTTGTTCATCAGATTATTCTAAAGATGGGTTTATTGTATTTGTTTTGCTCAGTCTCAATGTATTTTTCAAATAGTGGACAGTGTACTGGCTTTATTGTTGAAGATATTGTTAGAAATGACTCTTCAAGTAAATTTTATATTGCTTTTGGTCAAATTATTTAAATAGACTTACATTTAACTGTGAGCAAAGGCTGTTTGAATAAAACAAAACACATGCCGTTTTCCTCTCCACCTGTTGGATTAAATTTATTTTAAAGAATACGGCTATCCATAAAGAAGTAAGAATGGGAGTGCTGTTGATGAGATTCATTTTTCTTCCCCTTTCTGTCAAAAACTAAGGGGAATTTGAAATCATCCCGTACAGATGACAGA